GCCAATCAGCGTGAAGCCGGCCAGCAAGGGGCGGGCGGGAATTTTGAAAGTTTTCCTTTGTATTTTTACTATAAATATGTCTGTATTCTTTGTACTGGTATGCTTGTGGTGGAATGATCCCTGCAATGCATCTGATTTCAGCTGAATCACAAATAAACTTCGGTTGCTGGAAACTTCTTCCACCTTGATGAGGCATTATTATTTGTAATATTTTGAGATTGGCTTCGCTGGCCTCACCAAGGGATCCAGGGCCCTTTTTTTGGCGCGGTCCTCGGGTTCCTCTCTCTTGAGGAGACCCCACTAAAAGCAGCTCGATATCATTACTATATTCAAGTGGGTGTACCAACCACCTGAAGGAGTAATGGGATTAGCCTTGTGTTCCCCTCAACTAAGGATGATCTTCTGGGGAAATGTTCATCCTTAGATGCCAGCCAGTGGGACACTTCATGGCTCCTTTCTTGGCTTTAGGTTTTGAGGTCCCGGGTTTCAATAACAAGTGGAATATCTTTAGGAGGCTGCCATAAAGAGGGAGGCATCCCTTTTCTCTGTTGCCTCTGGGGATAGAACTAGAGTTGCATCTACACCTTAGAAGTAATGCAGCTTGACACCACTTTAACTGCCATGGCTCAGTGCTGTGGAATTGTGGGATTTGCAGTTTGACAAAGTCTTTAGCCTCCTTTATCAAAGATTACTAGTGCCTTTCCAAAGTTCTGCACAGTTTGCTATTTCCTTCTTTTGACTTGCCATGAGTTTCCACGACTAAACAGGGATTCAAAGAAATGGCACTGTCTCTTTAAATGAACTTCCTTGCTCCCAAGTTTCCTATGGCATGCCAGAAAGAAAGGTTTTGGTTTCAAACTTTCCCCTCAACTTGTCCATCTTGTCACATGCTGAGTGAATCATTTACTGGAAGTGAGTTGCTTTGCCAGTAAACGCATGGAAAGTGAAAGTAACTGTGTTCTTTGTAAGAGGAAAATACTTACTACTTCTGCTATTTGGGATCCCATCTAGGAGCTCAGTGAGGAAGCTGCTTGTTTTGTTTGCCTTGACTATTTCAAGGGTCTTGTGTCCTTCAAATGTAAGCACAACTTCAGCCAAGCTTCTCTGAGTTATGAAAGAGGTCAGGCACTATCGAGTAGGGTTGCCAGGCATCCTGGATTTTAAGGAGCAGTCCCATATATGAATGAAATGCCCTGTGTCCCATTACACTCTTTCCCGGGACATCAATTGTTCCGTATTTCCCAATGAATTGCAATGGCACCCATCTCTTAGATGAAATCTCCCTTAACCCTTCCCAAACCAGCAGCTGACCCCAGCCCTACGAAGTCTGTTTCCCTTCTGCTTACACATTTTGGCTTAGCCCTTTTATCTAAACAGGTTTGGATCAGCACATATTCAAAGAAGGTTAGAGTCCCCGCGGTATGGAAGGGCTTAGTGTGGGTCACATGGGGCTAAGCCCACCCGGGGGTGTCCACCAACGACCCCAGGTTTTCCAGATGGTTGCATCAATCCTAATGCTGCATCAATAAGGGGGAGCCCCTGGGCTCCTTGGCTAGTGATAGGTCCACATCAACAGTTGTCGAAAGGACCCTGGCCCTGGTAGAAGTCTCTCTAGGAAAGTGGTTCCCAACCTTTTTTTGACCTGGAACCACTTTGACCAGGGACCATTTCACCAGGAACCACTTTGACCAGGGACCACTTTAACCAATGACCACTTTGACCAATGACCACTTTGACCAGGGACTATTTGACCAAGGACCACTTTGACCAGGGACCATTTGACCAGGGACCACTTTAACCAGGGACCACTTTGACCAGGAACCACTCTCCAACATTAGTACCAAGCGGGTTACGAATCGGTTTTTGGTCAACTTTAGTTTCGGTTTGGGGTGCTGATTCAGAAAATTGCATTGGATAGATCACATCAGCTCTAGTTTCTGATACAGAACTTATGCCATGGTCAGTGACAGGGAAGGAGTAGCAGGCCACACGAAAGAAGCAGAAATAAAATAAAATAGAGGAAAGAGACTTGAAGACTGGATTTTCATCCTCGCAGCCCACCAGTGGTCCACAGCCCACAGGTTAAGAACCACTGCTCTAGAGACATATAATCCCCTGTACAATAAAGTTAAAACATAATTTATGTGATGCTACATCTTTCAGGCTTCGCAAACATTTTTTTTCTCCAGTCCTATACTCTGTATCTTATGCTTTTCTCCTTCAAACCTCCACACATACACAGAGAAGAAACAAATAAAAGGGAATAACTTTCCTATCTCTTGTGCAGCCAAGATAGACCCCCACTTCTTATTTCCAAAGAATATGAACCCATGCTAAAACGTCACTTGAATCTTATATATTTCAGCTTATAATGCACCAGCGCAGTGGTAACTTCCCCCAACTCAATGCATCGCTCCTCTTTCCACAGGAGTGCCGCAGGGTTCCGTCCTGGGCCCGGTCCTGTTCAACATCTTTATTAATGACTTAGATGAAGAGCTAGAAGGCATTATCATCAAGTCTGCAGACGACACCAAATTGGGAGGGATAGCCAATACTCCAGAGGATAGGAGCAGGATTCAAAACGATCTTGA